GGCTCTCCGTCTTGTTTTAATACCTACAAGATTATATATTGTACGAGATTGCACCGGTAGCAGGAGCATTACATGTGGGAAGCAACTGGGGAAATGTACAGATTTGTGACTATTCAGCGTTTCGAAAGGCTAGTCCAATTCATACTGGACACTAAAAGGATTTCTAGCTATTCTGCTATTTCTAGACTAGAGGAGAATAGAAAGACATTTGGGTTAGGGTTGAGAAATCTGTTACTTCCTCCGTGAGTCTGTCGGACGATGACTGTGTTTTTCCGGCTGTCTGACCCTTTACTGAAGCAGGAAGTGATGCAGAGCTGAGGTGAACTGCAGCTGGTAACACACCGTCTTTATGAGACAGCATGGGGAGCACTTGCTGTGTAGTTAGCGGGTTTTCCATCGCAGACATCCTTCCTTCAGGGTTTCAACCACTAGAAAGGAGTGACTGTCCCAGTTTGACTTCACAAAGGTCTGCTCATCCAAAGGAATTCCCCCCTCGGAGGATCTTAAACTATCAGAGAGAGGTGTTTCCTCTAGTGTGTGTTGGTCTGATGATTCCCTCAGCCTACCTCTGGTCTTTGGTTCACCTTTTAAATATACAACAGTTCCTGATGTGCTCCAACACTACACATCTTTTCCTTGATGGCTTCCTGCACTTGTGAATGGCTTTAAATAATCTTATGATATGACTCTGAGACGTCAAATTGTATTGAGACAAATGGCTCAAATTCAAATCACGCACAGAGTAATTTCCAGGAAAATGTGAAGCTCAGAAAACTGTTCTTTGCTTACAGTGAGGTCTTTAATAATAATAATAATGCATTTTATTTATAGAGCGCTTTTCTTGAAACTCAACGACACTTTACCGAGTAACAATTCATAAAAACATAGTTAAAACAACACACTTAAAATCATGGACGTAGGAAGCATCCTGAATGTGGGGGGGACATTTTTAACGGGAGGTGAAAAAATATATAGATTTCCTGTATTCTGGTGCATTTTAACAGGTGGTTTGATACTTTTATGTGGCTATACTAGCATGAGGAAAATGATGGGTACATTTTGTAATTTCATCCAGTAGTAAAGAAAGGAAACATATTTGATTATTAATTCAGAGCTGTCTTTGAATTAATAAAAAGCAGTTTAAATGCCCATTTTTTGTACATTTATATACAACAATAAATATTTGTGAGTGCATTGAAAGATATTGTTGTGAAGTGATAATTGTTTATTGAGCAGTATACTCTTTCACATTGAATCATAACAAGTCATACTGAATGTAAATACAACTGACTCTAAAGTAAGTCCCAGTCTGTGACATTGGACATTTTGAAGACTATGCTATGTGAGAATCTGCCTTGGTACAAAGTAGCAGTGAAAACATGGTACGGAGTTTCATTGATTTGGGCATTCTCTCAATAAGCAAGTGGAATGGATTTCATTTGATAGTGAAGCACTGACACAGCGCTCTACAAAGTGCGGCGAGTGGATAGACCGATTCACGGACTTTCCGCATAGTAAAAGTGGGGGGGTCTAAACTAATCATTTGAAAAAGTGGGGGGGACTTGTCCCACCCTCATATAATGGCTGCGACGCCCATGCTTAAAATATATAAAACACAACATTAGTTACAGATTAAAAGCTGTTGTGATTTGAACATGGTGAGATTGGGGCAGTCACAGAAAAGTGTATGTATATTTCAACCAGTCTAAGTCATGTGATCTTGCAATGTTGAGGTTGGCCAATGCGCCAACATCACATAACAATACAGGAAGTAGAAAGCTAGAATACATTGTTCACTTAAAGGTAAGGCTTGTAGAGAAACTGCATGCTTCACGTCCATGTGTTTGACCTCTGAGACATGCTTTACTATTCCACTGAAAGTTTCCCACGACCCAAACATGCTAAATACTGATCCTTGATTTACACACCATCTCTATCAAGAATAAAACTGTCTACGTATGTCAAAGCTGCTTGGTTTTTCATCTACACAGACGTACAAATATACACAGAGGCTGTTGCAATGCGGCTGATATATTTCACGGTGTTCTCCGTGCACATGCATGGCTCTCTGGCTCCAGGACACCCAGATGTTTGATCCGCCAACATCTGCTGCCTTCATTGTTAGTACATCTGGAAAAAACGCACCATGTGTTTTAGAAGACGTTCCTCGAACTAACCAGCTCCTTATCAAAGTACAGTAAGTGAAACACTGACTTTAAATCATTGACAATAGTTAATCCATGTACAGGGAAGGATCTGTATCTGTTTGAACACTTCATTACTTTACAGTTTATTTAAAATGTGTAAACTTACCTTAATGTGTTTGTTTTTTAACGTTGTTTTTGCTTATTTGTTTATATTTGTGTGCTTGCTATGAAGGTAGATATGGAGAGAGCGTGTAAAACCTGATGTGAGCACTTGCAGAAAAAGAATCTGAGCTTGTGTGCATACATTTACACTTGTATAAAATATCCACGTATCTGTGAACCACATTTGAAGTCACAGAAAGAAAAATAAGTGTTGTGGCTTGTAGAAAAAAAATGAACTTAGTGATGAAATGTTCACTTGCAGAAAAACATATCTTTTTTTAATATATTTTCCATTACAACTGCAACTTGGTTATTACAACCTCTCAAATCAGTCATTACAACGTCACGAATCTGCGGCCTTGACTTTTGCTACACTTCTTGCGATGAATGTGTCGCTAAAGTAATTTTCACCTGTAGATGTGGGGGGAGGGAGGGGGGTTGGAGCGAAGGGGCGGAGCTATCAGAACGACGAGGCGCAAGCTCGGGTCAGTCACACAGCCATAGTCAGGTCGAACCGGATGACTGCGGGGCCCCGCATGTTGCCCCTTTCACACCAACGTGGTTCCATGGCCGGTTCGGAGCTAGAGCCTGATGATAAGCCCCGGTTTTTCCTGTTCACACCGCAGCGGAGCCGGCTCTTTTCCCCCGAAAACCGGTTCTTACCAAGCTCGAAAAAATTGTCGTTCTAGAAGCAAGAACCGCATACGTCACGGTTACGTCGGAGGGGGGCGAGATTAACCTGAGCTAACAGTTAAGGCGAGTACGGCAAATAACAGTTGTAACAAGCAGTAGCACTGAGCAAAGTGACTAGAACGCAACCACACACTTGTTAAAAAAACACACTTTATAAAGTCAGGCAACACTACCCAGGCTTCATGTGATTCTGTTTATTTGTACCTTACTTTGACCATCCGTTCGCTGTTATTGATCATTGTGGAGAGCAGGCAGACGTTTTGTTTGTTATTATAGCAGCTATCGGATGGAATCAATACATGGGCTGCACAGGTTGTCATGTCCGACTATCACAAGTAGAATCATAATGAAAAATACGCCGGCTTATGCCACAATAGGATAGCAACAACAAGTAGTCAAGTTAGTCAGTTTAGCTTCGGTTGCTATGCTAACATCACCCATTTTATACCGGAGAAACTTTCATAACAGCGTTGTGATGCCAAACAGCGTCAATTCAGACTGACACACATTCACTTAAGGGGAACTGGGGATATGTATCAGCTGCTTGTGTGACAGTCAGACAGTGAATACTTTACAGCGGCCGCTGCTGTGAGCTAACCCGGAGCTAACGGGAGAATGAACTCCGGTGGACGAGCAGCACTGCAGCGGGAGAATACACTCCCGTTAAAGAGCAGCCAGCACTGCAGCGGTCGGTAAATGCCGCTGAAACACATTAATAAACAATGAAGCACGGCACTCTGGAGAAAAGTATAAGGTTGGAGAAGTAGTTATTTAATTTAATCTGGCTTCGTATGATTAAAAGTAACACGATCATCGACCCGACGCAGTCCCCCGTTGTTGTTGTTCTGAGCGCCGTTGGGGAGAAAATCAGCAACAGACTATGGCTGTGACTTGTGTATGACTGACCCGAGCTTGCGCCTCGTCGTTCTGATAGCTCCGCCCCTTCGCTCAAACCCCCCTCCCTCCCCCCACATCTACAGGTGGAAATTACTTTAGCGACACATTCATCGCAAGAAGTGTAGCAAAAGTCCGCAGATTCGTCGATGTATACTGCCACAGAGCAGATTCGTGAAGTTGCAATGACTGATGTGAGAGGTTGTAATAACCAAGTTGCAGTTGTAATGGAAAATATATTTAAAACATATATTTTTTTCTGCAAGTGAACATTTCATCACTAAGTACATTTTTTTTCTACAAGCCACAACACTTTTTTTTTCTTTCTGTGACTTCAAATGTGGTTCACAGATACGTGGATATTTTATACAAGTGTAAATGTATGCACACAAGCTCAGATTCTTTTTCTGCAAGTGCTCACAGCAGGTTTTACAAGCTCTCACTTTTTGCACCATATCTACCTTCATACTTGCCTGTCTATTTAATATATTAGTCTGTAAATATATTTACATTTGCCTTTTATACGCACTCTGCTTTTACTGGTCTATCGCGTTAATTTCCCCCTGCTGGACAAATAAAGGAATTGTATTTCGGACTCTGATGAACTTTTTAAGAATGACTGTTTTCTCATTCTTTCTTATATCTTCTTGAAGTGGCCCTATACAGCACATGTTTAGGTCCATATTTGTATCTTGAGCCTCTGCTGTGACACACAAAGTTATATTTATATGCACAACAACCTAACACACTACAGGAAAGGGAAAACCCTAAAAAGCAGAATAGGACCTCTTTAAATGACCTCACAGATGAGAGTGGGGAGAAAAGTGACAGCATAATACATGAAGCTTTGACAGGAGGATTTAACAACTACTGGGGGAGTTTATGAGAAGTGACATTATGTAGTTATTATTTTTGGCATGCAGAATTGGGAGGCATGAGTCAAATTAAAGTAGAAGCAGTTGTTCAGACTCTGAGTCACTCTGACCTGGTGTTACGTCCGGGTGGTGACAGATGCTCCTGCTCTCCGTAATAAAACCTGTGTGTAAAGCTAAGCTGTCTTTACACGCTTAAGTGAGAGTGATGGATGGGGGGGGGGGGGGGTAAATGGAGGAGAGGAAGACACAGTTTGATCTTATTTCATGAGGGAGGGAGTAGGAAGTGTGTGTGAGGGGAAGTGTGTGAGGAGAGAGAGAGAGAGGTTGCTCCTCAGTTGTTCCTCCTCTCAGTCTGACAGCAGCAGCCGGTCGTTCCTCCTCAGCTGTGGACCCCACCAGGTAAGAAAAACAAACACACACTCTGACACCATGCGACAACGACTCTGTGACACACACGACTCTGCAGGATAAGCTTCTGGAGCTTTAAAAAAAAAAAAAAAAAAGAGATAAACTAAAAGAAGAAGGAGAAGAAGGAGAAATACCCGGAGGTGTGTGTGCGTGCAGAGACTCGATAAGTGATTCAAAAGTCGCCAACTCAGCACATTTCTGAAAAGAGTTTCTCCGAGAGCACCGGCTCATTAACACTGTGTGTGTGTGTGTGTGTGTGTGTGTGTGGGTGTGTGTGTGTGTGTGTGTGTGTGTGTGTGTGTGTGTGTGTGTGTGTGTTGTGTGTGTGTGTGTGTGTGTGTGTGTGTGTGTGTGTGTGTGTGTGTGTGTGTGTGTGTGTGTGTGTGTGTGTGTGTGTGTGTGTGTGTGTGTGTGTGGTGTGTGTGTGTGTGTGTGTGTGTGTGTGTGTGTGTGTGTGTGTGTGTGTGTGTGGTTAATCCGGACCGCAGTCTTGTGCCAGACTGATGCTCCGGGTTGTTGTAGACGTGGCTTCCTAAATGGATTCATTATGACTGTTGCATGTGTGTGCACGCGTTATTAGGTGGCAGGGAGCATGCGGTTTATTATCATGGTTACAAGGTGAAGAGGGGGGGCTAGGGGTGAAGAGGTCACGTGAGGTCATGGTATGATAATATTTTTGCATCAGCTCCTGTTACCAAACACCGACACACACCTTGTGAAAGCTGGGAAAGGATCCATGTGTGGGTGAAAACATTTTACAGTACTTGGACGTTTTTTTTATGTATATAGTTGTATCCACATTGGACGAGTTTCAGCAGGTATTGTTCATGCATGCTGGACTGTGGGAAGTAAACTGTTGGAGCTATGCATTGGTTTATATTATTTAATAGTTATACATGTATTTTATTGCTGTTTTTATACATAGCAAATGTCTTAATAATGTCATTATTTAAGTTAAAGAAGCTGTTTCATGCTTTTATTTTGAAGGATGCTTTGGGCACCGGGTGATAAGGTATTTATTAGAGTCCCCAAGTCCTGTAATTCAATTGGAAAAGTCTCTACTTTAAAGAGTCCTCTCCTGCTGATGTTCAGGTGTATATTAGTATGTAGTGTCTCTACTTTAAAGAGTCCTCTCCTGCTGATGTTCAGGTGTATATCAGTATGTAGTGTCTCTACTTTAAAGAGTCCTCTCCTGCTGATGTTCAGGTGTATATCAGTATGTAGTGTCTCTACTTTAAAGAGTCCTCTCCTGCTGATGTTCAGGTGTATATCAGTATGTAGTGTCTCTACTTTAAAGAGTCTTCTCCTGCTGATGTTCAGGTGTATATCAGTATGTAGTGTCTCTACTTTAAAGAGTCCTCTGCTGCTGATGTTCAGGTGTATATCAGTATGTAGTGTCTCTACTTTAAAGAGTACTCTCCTGCTGATGTTCAGGTGTACTGTATATCAGTATGTAGTGTCTCTACTTTAAAGAGTCCTCTGCTGCTGATGTTCAGGTGTATATCAGTATGTAGTGTCTCTACTTTAAAGAGTACTCTCCTGCTGATGTTCAGGTGTACTGTATATCAGTATGTAGTGTCTCTACTTTAAAGAGTCCTCTCCTGCTGATGTTCAGGTGTATATCAGTATGTAGTGTCTCTACTTTAAAGAGTCCTCTCCTGCTGATGTTCAGGTGTATATCAGTATGTAGTGTCTCTACTTTAAAGAGTACTCTCCTGCTGATGTTCAGGTGTATATCAGTATGTAGTGTCTCTACTTTAAAGAGTCCTCTCCTGCTGATGTTCAGGTGTATATCAGTATGTAGTGTCTCTACTTTAAAGAGTACTCTCCTGCTGATGTTCAGGTGTATATCAGTATGTAGTGTCTCTACTTTAAAGAGTCCTCTCCTGCTGATGTTCAGGTGTATATCAGTATGTAGTGTCTCTACTTTAAAGAGTCCTCTCCTGCTGATGTTCAGGTGTATATCAGTATGTAGTGTCTCTACTTTAAAGAGTCCTCTCCTGCTGATGTTCAGGTGTATATCAGTATGTAGTGTCTCTACTTTAAAGAGTACTCTCCTGCTGATGTTCAGGTGTATATCAGTATGTAGTGTCTCTACTTTAAAGAGTCCTCTCCTGCTGATGTTCAGGTGTATATCAGTATGTAGTGTCTCTACTTTAAAGAGTCCTCTCCTGCTGATGTTCAGGTGTATATCAGTAGTTCTTAGGATTTTTCCATCATGTCATGGATGCTCAAGTTTAATGTGTGTAGTTTTGAGGGTTTCTTAAGTCAGGGACTCAAAGCTTCTGTTGTTACTGTCTGTGAATGATCAGGGGTGTGTAGGTCAAGTTGATTAAAATGACGTTGAAATGTTGCGTAAGTGAGCAGGGAAAGTATCCTCTGACATCTGGCTGGCTGTGATAGTGAAGCGGATTCAGATAATAAATTATTATATTATCAGCGGTTGGAAGAAATATATAGCGGCAGAGCTCCAGTCGTTTCATTTTCTCACAGTCACGCTCCATCCATCATCTCAAATCCTGTTAGCGTTCATCCACCACTGAAAAGAAACCCTGGGAATCTCTCCGTGTTATCTCTCAGATGTTTACTCTTCTCTCTTATCCTCCTTTTGCTATTGTTTCTCTTCTCCGTCTTTTTTTCCAGAGGATTTTTGTGACATATTTGTGGATTTTAAAGCTTAAATGTGAGTGTACAGTAGATGGAGAAAGAAGAGTGGGAGGAAAATAAATAGAAACTGAGAAATACATCAGACTGAAAAAGATAGAAATGGGGAATTATATAAAAGATGGAGAACACAGTACAGACGGACATCCAGGATTTAACTGTAGATTGTTTTGGTTGCAATACACTGCATTTCCCACAACACCCTGCAGCTGTTTTCAGCAAATAAACTGATAAAACCACTGCCTGTCCCAGCATACGCAATGTTAAGGACTAGCTGGGAAACATAGTGAAGACTTCCTTTGAAATGGAGAGCCAATGTAACAGTGTCTTAAACCTAAATATGTTCCATTGGCAAGCACAGTTAATTCCACCTTTGAGCTCTACTGTTGGTCTCCTCCAAAGGAAAATAAGTGTCTCTTTGGGTGTCAAATTCTCCACGTTGCTGCATTATGCGAAAAAACTCTAAAACCTACTGTAACTGTAACCCTGTCTTTACCTAAGTGGCAGAAAGGCAGCCTGTTGCAAACAAATCTAAAACTGTTTGGATGGAAACAAAGACAGTAAAATTACTCATGGTAAAAGCTGAAAACTTCTTTGTGAGTAAATCAGTGCAAATGACCAATTACACATAAAGGTAATCATGAGATCAAGAATACAGGAATATTGATTATGGCCATTTTAATGGACATATTGCAAACACAACATCATAGCAAACATATTTACATTGAGTATTGTAAGGATGCTTAAAGAAATGCTCGAGCTAGTTTTATCTTATGTGACTCGGTGGGTTGGAGGTTAAAACCCTCAGGATTATCCATTGTTAGAATCATATGCATTCAGATTCTGGGCATAAGGATCCTCTGAGTGCCATATGTCTTGTGTTATTTTAAATAGTCCCACAGAAATTCTATAAATGGCTTTGTAACCAAAATCTAGTTCCTGATAAATGACTACCGAAAGATTTCAGGGTATCAAACAAATATTTCTAGTGTCTTTTGTCAGGTTTCAATGTGTTTTTATAGCTGGGGTAGTTGCATAAAAGTGTGTCAGGGACAACACATAGATATACATTGAGTGGTTGGACCAACAGCCAAGGTTAACCGCACATTTCATCCTTGGAAAAGTATTTGAAGGTGTTTCTGGCTGTGACTCATGCAGAGAGAATTTAAAACGTCTGCTCATGTTGTCACTTCCAATGAAGTCCTGTGATTGTATATGTATGGAGGGCCACATAACATACTGTTTTTCCACATCTAGAGCTTCTCTCCTTGTTATTGACAAGGGTAGACGTATGTATATTTTGAGATTAGTCAGGAGTTACCTAACACTGATTTGTAGTAACTTACTTGTTTGGGTATTCCAGCTTGTCTAATTAGTGGTTTCCTATAATTCCAAGAAACCCTTCATTGTCTGACAGATGTGGAGGACTTGTTTTTATCAATGAATGATGTCTCTATAGCAGATTTGTATTTCTTTGATTGTTTTACATTGGTGCAAAATCAGTAGGAGAAACAGATTTGCTTGGTGATACTAAAGGACTGCCAACAAAGTCTGATGAATTCTGTCAGTATTTATTTTCAGCTCTGTTGTTATTGTTATGAAACGTCCTGAAAGTTGGCGACTTATCCACAGGAATGTTTCCAAAATCAAACATCAAAACTGAGCCTAAAGTGTTGGTTGGCTTTTTTCTTGGATTGAGCTTTATTTGAGACTTTGCAGATATTTCTCTGGAGAATACAGTAAAGAAAGAGCCTCATGATAATGATGTGTTATGTGATGGGTTTCAGGGAGCTTTTACACCAGGCTTATTTAGTCCAGATGAACCAAACCCTGGAGCACTTTGGGCGGGTTAGTTTGGGTTGGTGTGACTCAAAACAACAGTTCTGTGGAGCGTTCAAACCAATCCAAGAAAGCGTAACCTTTATGAGCCAAGAAAATGTTTTGTCCTCCTGTTATGGTGACTGCAGAACTAGTAGCCTATTAGCGCTTTTGCTACCACTGAATTTGATAAATGTATTGTTTATAAGACCACAAATGAGACACAAAGTAGTCATCAAACACACCCTCCCTACTTCTGGGAGCGAATAGGCAGTTAAGTTTCAAACCAGCACCAGCCTGCAGTTTGGTTCATTTCCTGTAACGTGTAAAAGTAAGCTAGCTAGCTAAATAGCCAGCAGCTTAATTGGAAACATGTTGCTTCATTCATACTGTAGGAGCCATGAAACTTACAAAGTAATGTATTTTGTTTTAATACAAATTAGTTTTGTACTAGTTTATATTTGGGTAATGGTTTATTATTATAAGATATTATTATGTGATCGCAATGGGTTGGTTGGTTTGGGTTACTTGGATATGGGCGGCACTCAGGGGAATTATAATCCTGTGCACCTGTGTGAGTCGTGTGTGTGTGGAAGAGAGGGTACAGGCTCGTTGTATTTTTTGTTTTCGGCAAACTTTAGGATTGCTTTGATTATTATTACAATTTCTATGTCTATGTTGTACTAAGTTGATCATCTAGTTTCTCATAAAATTATTCACCGCAATTTTGATCTCAGCAAGTACTTTTGTTATAACGTGTCATACAGTTGCTACCAGGCCCGGCCTCAGCCTCTCAGCGACTGTGTTTGTTTCCTGCTGTCGCTACACTTTACTCAAATACATGAAAGAGGAGTGAGTTAAACGTCACTCTTTCACGCTGCAATAAGGAGCAGCTGCAATTGAGGGCAGTCAACAAACAACCAATCAAAAGACAGCTGAATGAAGCGTTAAGCTAGCAGGGGAGGTAAACGTAGAGACTTCACTATTATGGCAGCAAGGCTCTGCGCCCAACCGTGTGGCGAGCATCTTAATGTGAATAACTTTACCATCCTCTCCTTCCTTTCTGCTTCCTTCCCCTCCCAGGTAGTGACAGCCATGTTGGCGGTGTGTTTGCGGCTGCTCTTGCTCCTCCCTCTGGTCTTCAGCGTCCCCCCCCCCCTCCAGATCTCCTTCCAGATCTCCTTCCAGACTCTGCAGACGCTGCTGTGAATACCCAGAGCCGCCAGCAGGCTCCAGCCAGTACCAGATGCCTGAGGTCCGCACCGTCATCAACATGACCATCCTCAAAGGTACCGGTTAGCTTCTGTTAGCTACCAGGTCATATTTAGATGAAGTTTAATACTACTTCCTGTTTTACTACTTAGCAGTTTCTAAAGAACTACGATTAAAGGTCTCCTATTATACTATTTTTAGGCATATATTATAGGTCTCAGATATATAAAAAACATGTCTATGAAGTGTTTTGCTCAAAATATCAAACAGATGACCAGTTCTAGCTTCATATCCCTCTATTTCAGCCCTGTTACTAAAGTGCTGATTCTGGGTCCGTAGCTTAAAAAATATAAAAAGAGAGAAGAGCTCATGCAGGAGAATTTTACCCAGAAACTCAGCTAAATGCTGCCGTGATTAAACGCCTTATTATGTTCCAAACCACATCAAGGATTCTCTCTGAAACAGTATGGAGCTCAAACTCTTTCTCTCTCTCAGGTTTACCACAAGGTGACTTCCTTTTGATTTCCTGCTTCTTCACACATACTCTCTCCAGTACAGGTTAGCTCTGAGTGTTAGCATGCTAATGTAAACACAGACCACATTACTTCCAGAACACGTCTCATTGTTTCTGACAGCAACGTTTCTGATTGGCCCGTGGGTGGAAAGCCCGCCCACATTTTAGTAATGTCGTCATGACGCAGCAAATCTGGATCAGCTCCGTTGTTCCCCCGTTTCTAGAGATGTGGGTACGGAGGAAAAGAGAGAGGGTTTTGTTTTCTGACACTTTGTGAGTCTCCTGGAGACACCGGGGACACACCAGGGACACACCGGGGACACACCGGGGACACACCGGGGACACACAGGGGACACACCGGGGACACACCTTGGACACATGTTGATGTAGAAAAGACATCAACAAGTGTATTTTGCATGATAGGTGAGCTTTAAGATGAGCTTGAATAATACTTCCTGTGTTATTGTTCAGTTCCTCAAGCACTATGATTAAGCAGCTTCCTTTCAGTGTTGCAGTTGCACGTTCATTCATCAAAAAATATCCATTCTCAAATTTCTGTGTTACCATGTTCCTGCTTTGAGCTACATTTTCTCAATCAGATGTGAGCTTCTGCTTCTCCAGATGGCTGTGCGTCGGGCACGGCGACTATTTAGTCAGAAGAGGAATGATGTATGATAGAAAGGGAAGAGCGCTGTGGAAGTGTGATCATGCATTCATGGTTAAGTGGAATTGAGATACAAAAGCAATAATTGAAAAGGAAATGAGGCACTCAGCTCTTAGAAAGACCTGGAAGCACTTCAATAAATCAATGTCTTTTCAACATTTTGAAAGGAACAAGACTACCTAATAACACAGGCAATATGCACAGTGATTTATTGATGACACACATTTCTTTGTTGGGGCGTTCACGTGATTTTGTTATAAGAAACCATATAGACGTTTAGCTCTGTGTTCATGGCTCATTTAGAAGTTATTGTGCAGCCGAAGCCTGCAAATCAGTGAGAGGATGTAAAGAGAAAGAAAGACACTTTTAATGATAGCTTTTTGAGGATAAATGGTGTCAGGTGTACGTGGGATTAGGGGAGGGAACATTGGGATTTACGCCATTGCAGACCATTTACATGCACACAAACCTAGTGAACTAACTACAGTGACGCAGAATAGGGCCAGGAAGTGTAAGAAAATGTACGTTTTGTTTGATCAAATCTATCCACAAGGAACAAAGAGATTCTGCACGTAATGCTTCCAAAAATGGCAATGCTTCAGCGATCTCTGTAAGGTAGGGTTGATTTTCAGCCTTTCATCTATTTACCATGAGCACAAAAAGATAAGACGGAGTATCAATTTTTACATTTTTGCATGTCTTGATCCCTCCGGTCAGATCTTTTATACGACCTCTTTAGGAACTTTAGTCAGATCTGCACTGCTTCTCTCGGATGATAACTATGCATTTGTGTTTCCTTGTGTCTGTTCAAGAGTGTGTTGAAGCCAAGGGGAAACAGAGAGTTTGAACAAAGTGCCAAGAGAAAAGGGATTGAAGAATCAAAAGGATTGTATGATATATCTACAAACTGCTCAGCTGGAGAGGGATCAGTGAGAACATGTGTCTCTGATATCCGAGCTTTAGGAGGCCAACTGAAGACGAGCGGTCCAACCTTTGTGTCGTCACGCTTTATGTCCTTTGATAACGGAACAAGTCTGTTCTGACCTGCGATCAACCCCCGAACTGATGAACCACCAACATATCTCTTTCTCTCTCTTCTTATTCTCATGCAGATATAAAGGACAAGCAGAGCTTTTCACTGCAGAAGAATCCATAACTTTTCCAGTGTCCCCTGGTCTCCCAGCTGTGTGCGTCACTCTTTAGTGTCCCCTGGTCTCCCAGCTGTGTGCGTCACTCTTTAGTGTCCCCTGGTCTCCATTGTGTGCGTCACTTTTTAGTGTCCCCTGATCTCCGTTGTGTGCGTCACTTTTTAGTGTCCCCTGGTCTCCGTTGTGTGCGTCACTTTTTAGTGTCCCCTGATCTCCGTTGTGTGCGTCACTTTTTAGTGTCCCCTGGTCTCCAGCTGTGTGCGTCACTCTTTAGTGTCCCCTGGTCTCCCAGCTGTGTGCGTCACTCTTTAGTGTCCCCTGGTCTCCCAGCTGTGTGCGTCACACTTTAGTGTCCCCTGGTCTCCTAGCTGTGTGCGTCACTCTTTAGTGTCCCCTGGTCTCCCAGCTGTGTGCGTCACTCTTTAGTGTCCCCTGGTCTCCAGCTGTGTGCGTCACTCTTTAGTGTCCCCTGGTCTCCCAGTTGTGTGCGTCACTCTTTAGTGTCCCCTGGTCTCCCAGTTGTGTGCGTCACTCTTTAGTGTCCCCTGGTCTCCCAGCTGTGTGCGTCAGTCTTTAGTGGCCCCTGGTGTCCCAGCTGTGTGTGTCACATTTTAGTGTCCCCTGGTCTCCCAGCTGTGTGCGTCACACTTTAGTGTCCCCTGGTCTCCCAGCTGTGTGCGTCACTCTTTAGTGTCCCCTGGTCTCCATTGTGTGCGTCACTTTTTAGTGTCCCCTGATCTCCGTTGTGTGCGTCACTTTTTAGTGTCCCCTGGTCTCCGTTGTGTGCGTCACTTTTTAGTGTCCCCTGATCTCCGTTGTGTGCGTCACTTTTTAGTGTCCCCTGGTCTCCAGCTGTGTGCGTCACTCTTTAGTGTCCCCTGGTCTCCCAGCTGTGTGCGTCACTCTTTAGTGTCCCCTGGTCTCCCAGCTGTGTGCGTCACTCTTTAGTGTCCCCTGGTCTCCCAGCTGTGTGCGTCACTCTTTAGTGTCCCCTGGTCTCCAGCTGTGTGCGTCACTCTTTAGTGTCCCCTGGTCTCCCAGCTGTGTGCGTCACTCTTTAGTGTCCCCTGGTCTCCAGCTGTGTGTGTCACTCTTTAGTGTCCCCTGGTCTCCCAGTTGTGTGCGTCACTCTTTAGTGTCCCCTGGTCTCCCAGCTGTGTGCGTCACTCTTTAGTGTCCCCTGGTCTCCAGCTGTGTGCGTCACTCTTTAGTGTCCCCTGGTCTCCCAGCTGTGTGCGTCACACTTTAGTGTCCCCTGGTCTCCCAGCTGTGTGCGTCACTCTTTAGTGTCCCCTGGTCTCCCAGCTGTGTGCGTCACTCTTTAGTGTCCCCTGGTCTCCATTGTGTGCGTCACTTTTTAGTGTCCCCTGATCTCCGTTGTGCGCGTCACTTTTTAGTGTCCCCTGGTCTCCGTTGTGTGCGTCACTTTTTAGTGTCCCCTGATCTCCGTTGTGTGCGTCACTTTTTAGTGTCCCCTGGTCTCCAGCTGTGTGCGTCACTCTTTAGTGTCCCCTGGTCTCCCAGCTGTGTGCGTCACTCTTTAGTGTCCCCTGGTCTCCCAGCTGTGTGCGTCACACTTTAGTGTCCCCTGGTCTCCCAGCTGTGTGCGTCACTCTTTAGTGTCCCCTGGTCTCCCAGCTGTGTGCGTCACTCTTTAGTGTCCCCTGGTCTCCAGCTGTGTGCGTCACTCTTTAGTGTCCCCTGGTCTCCCAGCTGTGTGCGTCACTCTTTAGTGTCCCCTGGTCTCCAGCTGTGTGCGTCACTCTTTAGTGTCCCCTGGTCTCCCAGCTGTGTGCGTCACTCTTTAGTGTCCCCTGGTCTCCAGCTGTGTGTGTCACTCTTTAGTGTCCCCTGGTCTCCCAGTTGTGTGCGTCACTCTTTAGTGTCCCCTGGTCTCCCAGCTGTGTGCGTCACTCTTTAGTGTCCCCTGGTCTCCAGCTGTGTGCGTCACTCTTTAGTGTCCCCTGGTCTCCCAGCTGTGTGCGTCACACTTTAGTGTCCCCTGGTCTCCCAGCTGTGTGCGTCACTCTTTAGTGTCCCCTGGTCTCCCAGCTGTGTGCGTCACTCTTTAGTGTCCCCTGGTCTCCAGCTGTGTGCGTCACTCTTTAGTGTCCCCTGGTCTCCCGGCTGTGTGCGTCACTCTTTAGTGTCCCCTGGTCTCCCAGCTGTGTGTGTCACTCTTTAGTGTCCCCTGGTCTCCAGCTGTGTGCGTCACTCTTTAGTGTCCCCTGGTCTCCCAGCTGTGTGCGTCACTCTTTAGTGTCCCCTGGTCTCCAGCTGTGTGCGTCACTCTTTAGTGTCCCCTGGTCTCCCGGCTGTGTGCGTCACTCTTTAGTGTCCCCTGGTCTCCCGGCTGTGTGCGTCACTCTTTAGTGTCCCCTGGTCTCCAGCTGTGTGCGTCACTCTTTAGTGTCCCCTGGTCTCCCAGCTGTGTGCGTCACTCTTTAGTGTCCCCTGGTCTCCCAGCTGTGTGCGTCACTCTTTAGTGTCCCCTGGTCTCCCAGCTGTGTGCGTCACTCTTTAGTGTCCCTTGGTCTCCGTTGTGTGCATCACTTTTTAGTGTCCCCTGGTCTCCCAGCTGTGTGCGTCACTCTTTAGTGTCCCCTGGTCTCCCAGCTGTGTGCGTCACTCTTTAGTGTCCCCTGGTCTCCCAGCTGTGTGCGTCACTCTTTAGTGTCCCCTGGTCTCCCAGCTGTGTGCGTCACTCTTTAGTGTCCACTGGTCTCCCAGCTGTGTGCGTCACTCTTTAGTGTCCCCTGGTCTCCCAGCTGTGTGCGTCACTCTTTAGTGTCCCCTGGTCTCCCAGCTGTGTGCGTCACTCTTTAGTGTCCCCTGGTCTCCCAGCTGTGTGCGTCACTCTTTAGTGTCCCCTGGTCTCCCAGCTGTGTGCGTCACTCTTTAGTGTCCACTGGTCTCCCAGCTGTGTGCGTCACTCTTTAGTGTCCCCTGGTCTCCCAGCTGTGTGCGTCACTCTTTAGTGTCCACTGGTCTCCCAGCTGTGTGCGTCACTCTTTAGTGTCCCCTGGTCTTCCAGCTGTGTGCGTCACTCTTTAGTGTCCACTGGTCTCCCAGCTGTGTGCGTCAGTCTTTAGTGGCCCCTGGTGTCCCAGCTGTGTGTGTCACATTTTAGTGTCCCCTGGTCTCCCAGCTGTGTGCGTCACTCTTTAGTGTCCCCTGGTCTCCCAGCTGTGTGCGTCACTCTTTAGTGTCCCCTGGTCTCCCAGCTGTGTGCGTCACTCTTTAGTGTCCCCTGGTCTCCAGCTGTGTGCGTCACTCTTTAGTGTCCCCTGGTCTCCCAGCTGTGTGCGTCACTCTTTAGTGTCCCCTGGTATCCCAGCTGTGTGCGTCACTCTTTAGTGTCCCCTGGTCTCCCAGCTGTGTGCGTCACTCTTTAGTGTCCCCTGGTCTCCCAGCTGTGTGCGTCACTCTTTAGTGTCCCCTGGTCTCCCAGCTGTGTGCGTCACTCTTTAGTGTCCCCTGGTCTCCCAGCTGTGTGCGTCACTCTTTAGTGTCCACTGGTCTCCCAGCTGTGTGCGTCACTCTTTAGTGTCCCCTGGTCTCCCAGCTTTGTGCGTCACTCTTTAGTGTCCACTGGTCTCCCAGCTGTGTGCGTCACTCTTTAGTGTCCCCTGGTCTCCCAGCTGTGTGCGTCACTCTTTAGTGTCCCCTGGTCTCCCAGCTGTGTGCGTCAGTCTTTAGTGGCCCCTGGTGTCCCAGCTGTGTGTGTCACATTTTAGTGTCCCCTGGTCTCCCAGCTGTGTGCGTCACTCTTTAGTGTCCCCTGGTCTCCCAGCTGTGTGCGTCACTCTTTAGTGTCCCCTGGTCTCCCAGCTGTGTGCGTCACTCTTTAGTGTCCCCTGGTCTCCAGCTGTGTGCGTCACTCTTTAGTGTCCCCTGGTCTCCCAGCTGTGTGCGTCACTCTTTAGTGTCCCCTGGTCTCCCAGCTGTGTGCGTCACTCTTTAGTGCCCCCTGGTCTCCCAGCTGTGTGCGTCACTCTTTAGTGTCCCCTGGTCTCCGTTGTGTTTGAGCTTCTGCAGTGTTTGGTTTCTGCAGCTTTTAGTAAACGCTGCCATGTCTCCTCAAGTTGCTGAATGTTCTCTAAAAGCTGCACGTGTTGTCAAGTTGCTGAACATGTTTCTGTGTACAGGAACATTTGGGTTTTTATATCAGCATCGTTCTGGAGTCTTATGGATTGTTTTGGGCCGCTGCACCTGTCGGACACCGTAAACCTTCCTGCTGCTGAACCAATGCACACAGGGAGTTACTGTAATCATAAAGGAAATGGGAGTCACATGACTTATGTGTGTGTTCCTTGTTATTGACATATGTCAGATGTTACTCTTCAAACCACATGAGGCAATAAAACATACAGTGTCACTGTATTGCAGCTGTGCAATAAGGGAGGTCTCAACAGATACTGGCACTGAACATGCATATGTGGCAAAACACACACACACACACACACACACACACACACACACATACAGTTGTGCTCTCTTTCTCCTCTGTGACTCACAGACTGCCCACTGGAAAACAATATATCCTGCTTTAAATGTGTGTGAGAGTGTTTCCCCGAAGCTGCGATGATTGCATTAAGACCACCATAATCTCAGTCGCTCAGCCAATATGGTTTTTAAAGAGCCAAATCTCTCAAATGAAAGCAGTCATGGACTGTAAAGAGACTCTGCACCCACACAGATTAGACATCACATCTACATCCAACGCAATAAATCGTATTTACACAGCGTGAAAACATTCAGGAGGTTGGCTTGAGTTCAGTTGAGTTGCAAAATGCACTCTCTTAGATCCTGCCTTTGCAGCCAGTAAGCCTTCAAATGTGTAAATCAGCTGGATCTCATATCTGCTGTCCTTAATCTTTACATATCTAACATATAGTGATTGGATTCATTCCTCTGGAGAGACCTTATAGGACATTTGATTCTTTAACTGACCAAAGGAACTTTTATTCCATATGTAACCGGTGTCGATTAGCAGTGTCTGCGTTGTGTTTCTTTTGTTGAAGGATGAGACCCGAGTCAGCATACCGTCGAGCCGATCTCCGTTTATTCACTGATTGACAACAGATATAACAAATCAGTCGGTAACATATATTTCGTTTGTCCTCACACTTTGACTCCTCTCCTGTGGAACATATTGATGAAAAGGGAAGAGGAAAACTTTAGGGATACAATATAAAGGGTGACAAAGATAATCGTCTGTGTACACCGACTGAATTGTGCATGTTCCGCCCACTGATTTCAGACCTAGTCAGGTATTTAACGTTTAGTAAATTAAGAACACAGAATTATTAAATACAGAACACAGAATTTGTGTGATTATAATAAATGAATTACCCAGAAATATTTGACACCAAACACCACTGCATATGTACAATTGTTACACATATACAAAACAACCATTTCTATTGGTGCCTCAATATCGTTACATCACAAAGAGAAGGAGATGTCAGGACCTTGCAGGAGCATGAGGTTGTTTTTGTTGATGATAAAGGATCAGTCCCATTTATGTATGGGAGGTGGTGCTAAGCTGTTTGTGGAAACTTGGAGCTGTTAGCGTGGTCAGACGTGGGTAGATAATTTAGAGGATGGCTGATGTTTACCTCCAGGCTCCAGGAGGCAAGGGAGGCTTCTTCCTGTGTGGGTCAGAGGGGCTTAACTGCTGGTCCGAGACAGCAGAGCAACCACATGGACCTTAATATATAAAACATTCACTTACGACTTCTGTAGATGAGAGCAGCGCTACGTCACCAGCTGGAGGAATTGCGGCCCCGCCCACTTTCTGGTGAAAACAAAGAATCAGGGCCAAGCCGAAAGAAAGTTGTATCATTCCTAAAAGCTGCTGTGTTGTGTATTGCAAGTCAAACAACAAATAAGATCCAAAGTTCAACAGGACCTGTTCTGATTTCTGGGGTTTCCCCCCCACTGTAGTGTGTTCTATAGGTTAGTGCATGTAAATGGTCTACAAAGCCTAAAATCCCTGTGTTTTTCAAATCAAAGTTTTCCACTTTTACTTAATTTTTCTCTCCCTTTTGGACAATGTCTTCCCTCTTTGAGTTATAGATATCATCGATGTCAGTGCAATTCCTACTGGTACTCAGTGGAAGTCTAAGTTGATAGATTATATATAAATGGCCTTGTCTCCTTGAATCTTAACACAGTTTACTTTTTCCACAAAGATCCTCCTCACATATATCTGTCTGAACATTTTGTCCCACAGTGCCTGAGAGGAACATAAATAAGATAAGCATCACTTTAACTGAATTCCTTCGGATTTAAAAGTAGGACAGAATGAATAATGTCAAAGCTTTGCTGCAAATTGTTTCTATTTCTGGATTTGTTACCACAATGAGAGACAAAGAAGCTCGATGGCATTGTGTTTTTGTCTGAATGAATGCTTCTGTTTTGTCTCAGATCTGTTGTTTACTCAGTATCTGCTCTGTATCTGTGATAAATTGGTTTGATAATTAGAGAACCCTTAACCTAGAAAATCCTATATTGTGCATAAAACTTAGCCTCAGTAGCTCAATTCAGCCAAATCCATTAGAATGATCAAAAATGGAATCTCTTGCATTTTAGATGTCAAACCAGTAAATTAATCTGTGCCGTCAAGAACAACATTTAAAGCGTAGCGTAGTTGCCAACAATGCATCATGGGAAACGACACAGTAACATAACATAACAGTAAAAGAAAGTACAAGAAAAAGGTGCAACAGAAAACAGTGTTTAAGGAAGTTGCAGGAATTAGAAAACATCATTTACATTCAGAACATCTACCTACTTCCATGTGTCTGTCTGCACCTCTCACCTGCCTCCTCTCATCCTCACAGGTGATACAGGAAACCGAGGCGATAAGGGTACCCCTGGTAAACCTGGTTTAGAGGGACCTCCAGGCCACGGAGGACCGTTGGGCCCTAAAGGCACCAAAGGCCACCAAGGTGTCCCAGGAGACGCCTGTAAGATCCCCCAGTCCTCTTTCTCCGTGGGCCGTCGGAAGTCCCTGCACAGCCTCGACTACTACACGGCGCTGGTGTTTGACACGGTGTTCGTCAACCTGTACGAGCACTTCAACATGTTCAAGGGCAAGTTCTACTGCTACGTGCCCGGGATCTACTTCTTCAACGTGAACATCCACACCTGGAACTTCAAGGAGACGTACCTGCACCTGATGCACAACGACAAGGAGCAGGTGATCCTGTACGCCCAGCCCAGCGAGAGGTCCATCATGCAGAGCCAGAGTGTGATGATGGACCTGAGTCTGAACGACGAGGTGTGGGTGCGACTCTACAAGAGGGAGCGGGAGAACGCCGTGTACAGCGACAACGTGGACGTTTACATCACCTTCAACGGATACCTGGTGGCACCGAGCGTCCATTGAGACTGGGACAAAGGGGATTATATAAAGAGTAATCGCTGGGATTATTGGGTCTTCACGCCGAGGAGAGAAGAGAATTTAATAGAGGAAGTTTGGTGCTTTTTTATATATAACGTTCAACAAGGCTCTTCAAATTCAAGATCTAAGTCAGAATTCGGATATTTTCTCAAAATCCTGATTTTTTTTCTAATGATTTTGAGAAAAAAGTCAGAATCTTTTTTCATCATTTAGAGACTAAAGTACAAATTCAGATGTTTTCTCAGGGTTTTGACTTTAATCTCAGAAAAAAGTCAGTGTTTCTTTTCTAACCATTTTGAAATTAAAATAAGAAAAAATACTTGTTATAATTTTCGATTAAAGTACGATTTCAAACTTTTTCTCGGATTTCAAACATTTTCCTTCAAAATCCAGACTTTATTTGGATAATCCAGACTTTTCTATCCGAATTTGTGAAACAAGTAATAATCCTTTTTGTTATAATTTTGCGATTAAAGTTGGAATTCAGATTTGTTTTTCTTCTCAGTTTTGTCTTGAATCTCAGAACTAAAACAACTATTCCACTTTTGGGCAGACCTCAAACTCTTTTTTCTTTCTTCAACCTTGATACCTTGATCTCTTCAAGAAAACTTGTGTGAGAGAAAATGTTCTTAAAAAAACGTAAGGTAACACAAGGTGACTAAATCATACGTTTAGGAATCCATTTAAATGACCTCCTTTGCACTAGAAATCCACTTTTGTACAAAGCCACTCACTTCTCCTCTTCGGTGCCGGGCGTCTTTCCTCTCCTTTCAGGGACTTGAAACACAAGATGTGTCACGTATCAGGAATCTTCTATCCGTGCTATCAGTTGTGTTGATGTGCTATGAAGAGTTTCTGTCAGACTCAAATGTGTTCGGACAGACAGCTGTCAGACCTTTAACAAACGTTTCCTTCGTGCCTGTCAGAATGGCTTTAAAGGGTCAGTTCACCAAAACTCATCAACTTACTGTAATAAAGCCACGGTTTCTTCTAACCCTCACAAGTTCGTGTTATGGAGTTTTATGTAAATGTTAAACAGCATGTTTGAAACTTTGCATATCAACCGAGAGAAAATATGTGTTTCTTGTTGGTTCTTGTTGGAGAAGCTTTGACTGTTTTAATTTACATAATGTTCCTAGTAAAGGAGTTAAGCCTCTTAAATGAAAGAAGGGAGATAAGCACAGTTGGGTTAGGGTTTTATCCTTCTGTTTTTTTGTTGAACTGACCCTTAAACCTAAATGTATGCCCACGTATCAAAATGAAAAAGGTGCTTTAATTCCCAGAGCAGGAATTCATTGGGATTCTGACTATTAACTATGATGTATTGTTACAGAGACTCCAAGCTGCAGAGCAGTTTATGTAAATAGCTGTATAGAAGCTGTCTTTATTACTTTGGCACGTATGCACCTGTCGGCCATCGTACCTTATAGTCAATATATGTGCTAGCATTCATGCTGTCAGGGCTGGACTGTGTGTGTGTATTTCCTTCTTCAATAACCAAGTATATCTCTGTTCTGTTTCACTGAGCAACAAATAGACACTTGATTATGAAACATTAAACATTTTCAGAATGAAAAAGTGAAATCAGAGGCTTCTATGTTTCATCACAATGTTTTTTTCTTTTTACCACAAAACACATCATCACATTTCTGCAGGAAACTGTTGCTCTGCTTTCTAATTCTTTACAAATGACACCATGTAGTTTAGGGCTTGGCTCACAAAGTGCTCTAAATCCAAGAGGGAAATAATTAAATCCCAAAAATCATCAAACTCTCTCAAATAAACATCCGAACCAGCCAGCAGAAAGCCATCTCAAAGAGACGTGGGATGGGTCTGCGCTCATGCCAGCTCCATCTGTTGGGCCATATCTCCCCCATTAGCTGTGATGCCATCCTGCGGGAGGCTCGCTAGAGGGGAGGCAGACTGCTGCGTTGGAAATACTTTAAGCCATGAGTGGAGATCTCAAAATCTCTGTTGGTAAACTGAGCGGGACATCTGAACATTTTCCTGGATCATCAGCAGACTGTTCCAACATGCACAACACTCAGAATCAGAAGCTGTCCGTTTAACGAGCGGCGGAGCATTTAGGCGTGAAATCTGGCCCAGTTTAGTTTGCTCTAACTTAGGTTTAATACGACTCAATATTTACACACTGGACATATGAAAAAGTGAATTGTTAGGGAGCGTTAGTGGACATGAATTCAATCAGGTGACAAAAAGAAACCCATTAAGCATTGAGATGCAACCATGGTGTCCAAAATAGCGGAAGTAGATACATTAAATTCACATAACTTCAATAACGTAAGAAACAATCAATCTATCTTTCTTCCAATAAGGTTTGTTGAAATTGTGTTTTATGTTCATTTAGAACATCCACCACATTGCGAACGTTGACCCTTTAAATCTGATTAAATCAAAGCCGAACTAATACAAAAACCACCTGCATTTACAATCACTGTTTCCTATTAAAGTAACGTGCTGTGATTGGCCTAAATGCGCTCAGTTGCAGCCCAATCAACCCAACTTTTACAAGACCGCAGAAAACAAGTCGAGGTTTCACTTAATCCTGTTTAACAATAAATAATTAAGTGGAGTAAAATCTCCTGCAATGATCCCTGCAGAGGGTTAACAGTAGCTAACGAGGTTTATGGAAGGATGTGAGCACAGGCTCAAGCTTTTCAGAACCAGAAACTGTTTTATTGCCAAAGTAAATTGCAAAAGTTCACTGTAGAAAATGTGAAATCAATTACAAGAAATACAGACAAAGATTTATGTTGCACAGCTCTTGCATAGGGATCGTTTGGGATGCACACTGTTTGCATGGATATTTACAATTTATTTTTACAAGCAAATACAGCAAATCGCTTTTGGCAAATACCATTTACCAAAGCGACAGAATTGCATTTAAACTCGACAGGAACAGAAGACATATGTAATAAGAAATTAAGATTGCATCCATTCGAAAAATCAATACACTTCAGTTCACGTGCCTAGATCAAAATCAAATCAAATCAAGTTTTATTTATATAGCACATTTTTAAAACGATTTTTGGTCGAGCCAAAGTGCTGTACATACAGTTAAAATACTTTACAATAAAGACACTTTACAACAAATACAACTGCACAGTTTGTTCAGAATATCAGTATGACAATACGACACCCTCTGTCCTTAGACCCTCTGTCCTTAGACCCTCTGTCCTTAGACCCTCTGTCCTTAGACCCTCACATCATACAAGGAAACACTTCCAGAGAAACCCCAGAGGTTAAAGGGGAACATGTGAAAAACCTCAGGGAGAGCAACAGAGGAGGGATCCCTCTCCCAGGACGGACAGACGTGCAACAGATGCCGTGTGTAAATCGAAGAGATAATACATTTACAACATAGGTAGACCGAATGTTTGGAAATGCATGTGTCTATAATAAGATGATGAATCCACGAGGATGTCAACAATCCTGTGGGAGCCATCAGGGAAGTAGGATGATGAGAGTCAGGCAGGACCACAGAGACAGGTTCAGCCACGACTCGAAGTCCAGGACTCAAATCCAGAACTCAGGATAGAGGATCCAGGACACAGGACCACAGCAACAGGATCAGCCACGACTCAGGATCCCGGCGTAGATAGACACCAAAAAGAAATTTGGGGGAAGCTGGGTTAATCGGAACATGAGAGTACACAGGTACAGACAGAGAGAAGGAGGAAGTAAGGTGTCCCCCGACAGTCTAAGCCTATAGCAGCTAAACTAACGTGTCTACGTACATGGACTCCCTTAGGATAGGTTGAGGGATAAGGGGTAGAAAGTAAGAAGTAAGGAACAGAGGTGGAGAGGCACAACGTGTCTACGTACATGCACTCCCTTAGGATAGGTTGAGAAGAGGTTAGGAACAGAGGTGGAGAGGCACAACGTGTCTACGTACATGCACTCCCTTAGGATAGGTTGAGAAGAGGTTAGGAACAGAGGTGGAGAGGCACAACGTGTCTACGTACATGCACTCCCTTAGGATAGGTTGAGGGAAAAGGGTAGCAAATAAGAACTAAGAAACAGAGGTGGAGAGGCACACGCAGGGAGCAAGGTCCCCACTGGAACCTTAATTGGAATTGGTGAGAGGTAAGGAGGTACGCTGTGACTACGGTCATACACTCCCCGGCCGGAATAGGCCTCTCAGCAACCTGTTAGATGTTTTGTAAAGAGAACATTTGATAGTATTCTTGTTAATTGTTGGTATTTCTCCATATTTTGCCCGTTGATAAACTGTACAGTCTTCAACACAAGTACTAGAAATTATATTACAGGTTTGTTTAGTTTTTTCCTGTCAGATAAATCATTACCAAGTTGTCCAAAGTAATCCTCTGAACATGCTCAAGTTGACCCCCAAAGTTAAGGACGTACATACAGGTCTCCAACGATTCAACTTTAGGTTTAATTGAATGATTATGATTAATGAGTTGATCTAAAGAAATGCCCCCAGTGTGTAAAGGCCTTGAGGAAGCAACAGACTTGAACTGGAAATTATTCCTCCAACAGTCCATACCGTAAATGGACATCTGCTCACCTCTTTGAGATGGTTCTTACAATGTAAACACAGGTCTTAAGTGCAACACTCTTTAAACTTTAAACAGACAGACCACTTGGAAAAGTGAGCGTTCAAGACCAGACCTGGAAACAAGAGCCACCTGTAAAGAAACGGACCAGAAGATGTTGGATGTCGTAAAATAGGAAACGAGGAGCACCTCTGATCTCCTCCAATGATCCAAAACTAACAGACTAGTAATATTCCTCTGGTGATCCTCCGGGTCACAAGATGTACGGCTCAGTAGATACTGTCAGTATCAGTACCAAAACTATGCCGTGAGCATTCCTGCGGCTACGTATTTCTGCAGTTATGTAACTGATCAGGAGGGAAGTCGGCGTGTTGTGAGGAAGGATATAATGAATGTTTTAGACTGGTTAAAGACGGGTTTGTTTAGGTTGTGGAGTCTAAACAGCTGTTCTCCGGGCTGCCTGAAGTGAAGCCTGTTAGCTCGAGGATCAGGAACAGGAAGCAGGCCTGAGGGCCGAGGCTGCTCTCCTAATTACAACCACATGACCTCTGACCTGTCATCTGTCAGAGCCACACTGAGGGGTGGACTGACTTGAGAGAAACATGGGGATAAGGAAGAGAAACAGGCAGGAGCAAATGAACGGAAAATAATGATATAGAGCTTCTGATAACCAGAGTTGGCGTTTCAACGGGTGTGACGCTGGGGGGGGGAAATCTGGTAGACCAGTGGACCAATCTGGTGGTGAACCGTGGGCTTCGGCTGTGGGCTTTATTGTTATGATAATAACACTTTGAATCATAATGCATAATGGTCGTGGACAAATTTGAAGTCGATCGGTTAAAGTTTGTTTTGTTACAGAGCCACAAAAACACAATTACTCGGCCAAAAACCGTCAAACGTCCAATTCTCAAAATGGCCGACTTCCTGTACGTTTTCCGATATATCTCCAAGAGGCTTTTTTGTTCGTCCACGAATGTTGTATATGCATACCAGATTTAATGCGTCTACGTGAAAGTGAAAAGCGGGGGTTAACTTTGCAAACCAGAAGTGGGCGTGGCCTACACCATGTTTTACAATAAATCACAAAATCCAATTCAGAACTCTATTTTCCAGTTCTGACGGATGTGTGTGTGTGTGTGTGTGTGTGTGTGTGTGTGTGTGTGTGTGTGTGTGTGTGTGTGTGTGTGCGTGCGTGCGTGCGTGCGTGCGTGTGTGCGTGTGTGCGTGCGTGCGTGCGAGCGAGCGAGTGAGTGAGAGAAGTGTAACTTTGAGGTCATTCAGAGTTTTATGTTGGCAGTCTTTTTCTCTTTGCCTCTCAGTTGAGAGTTTTCTTGGCCCGGTCGATGGAAGTGAAGCATAGTCCCGAGATTTATAAATAAACGGCTCAAGACAATTATAAATAGCACGAAACACAGTCAACTAAAGCATGATGTTGTATACCAATGTACAAAAATACTCAGAGTTTTGTTGAGTTTAAAACGGCAACCCTGTGTCTATACGTGACAAGTTGGAAAGGAGAGCGGTTTTAAATGACACAAAAAGCTTATAATGTGTAGACATGACCTGCATAGTGTGTGCTCATCATACTCCTTCATACAGTATGAGATCACGTCTCATTGAGAACACGTTATTATTTTACAACTGCAGAAGAAATAAGTGCAGGATCTAGGACACACAAGCATAGCTAACTACACACACACACTCAAAGAGAAAAATAATCAGTGTTTAAGTCAGAGAGCTTTAGTGGAAGACATTTTTAAACAAATCATAAAATGTAGTCATCTTGTTAGTGATGAGCAGAGTTGTTTTAAATTGTGCATACATGTAGTAACACATCATAAAACATGCGTTATGATTCAAACTTTCCATGATATAAAGTGATGTCTTAAAACAGCAGCCACTTACAAATGCTTATACTAACTTAACCTCGTTAGCATTTACGTTTCTCCTTTAACATACAGGCCTTTAGATGGGTAGACATTACTGTTATGGCCCTAACCCTTTCACAGTTGAGTGATGTTATATTGCTGGGCTCTGACACAGTCG